GAGGGGATCTGATTGGCTGCTGCTGGTCTGGAGGTGATCCAGATGAGAGCAGAGGGAAGCAGCTCTCCTTTCATGAGCTTTGACATCAACACAGCCACTGATGAAGTCTCAGTCACATCACAAACTTTCTGAGCGTCTGAAAACATCAGTGTGATTCTGCTTTCATCCAGACCATCAAAGATGAACACAACTTTACATTTATCATAAATCTTTGAGTCCAGATCTTGAAGTTCAGGATCAAAGTCAAGCAGAAGTCTGTGAAGACTGTAATGATGATCTTTAATCAAGTTCAGCTCTCGAAATGTAAGTACAAACATGAAATCTACATCCTGATTGGCTTTTCCCTCGGCCCAGTCCAGAATGAACTTCTGCACAGAGACGGTTTTTCCGATTCCAGCGATGCCTTTAGTAAGAACAGTCTTGATCTGCTCTTTCTCCTCACATCCTGCTTCAGCTGAGGCTTTAAAGATGTCATTGCAGTCGATTGGAGTGTCTTGTGAGTGTTGTGTTCTGGCTGTTTTCTCCATCTGTAAAACCTCATGTTCTTCATTCACTCCTTCACTCTCTCCCTCTATGATGTACAGCTGTGTGTAAATCCTGTTCAGGAGAGTTTGATTCTCTTGTAGTTTGACTCCTTCAAATAAGCTCTCATACTTGTTCTTCATGCTGGTTTTGTGCTGGTCTTTGACTCTTTGTAGATCATCATGCACTGGTTGGTGAGAGTTGAGCTGCAGAGCTGCTTCTGTGTCATGATGACTGATTTGGTTCTGGCTGTAGGAGGATGTGCTGGACGGACAGGACACATATCTGATCTGGTCAGCTCTCCCACCACTGAAAAGATATTAAGAAGAACAGAGAGACAAAAACAAACAGAAAGAGTTTTGTCAAAACAGAGAAAATATTTAAATGTCTCTAATATTAAATAATCTTATTTGAAATCATACCACAACCACATTTAGAAAGATTTGTTCGATATATGTGACCCTGCCTGTGAAAACCCAGCTAAAGTCATTTTTTTGTGATTCACGGTTTTCTACATAAAATCATCCTTCATAAAGGCGTAGAACATTCTGTGAAAATATAACCTTTATATCTTTAATATTGACTGAGTAAGGCCATGTCAAAGATTGAAATCATAGTGAAATTAATGGTTGAAAGCAAACGTTGATGCTTGTTATCTCATAATTAGATTTTGGGACTTTAGCCTGGATTTCACAGACAGGGTCACATATAGGCTAATTTTAAATATAATCAATCTATTGTGGCCAACAGATCCTTCTTATTACCATCAATATTACTCTGTGTCCCTGAATTTTTGTGTAATTAGACAAAAAGGGAATAGACATAGAGAAGCACATGAGAGCACTATTTAACAAAGCAGCTTCATTTAACAAAGAGCCTATTGACTTTTTCTTTTCAGTTTTCTTTATTTATATTATGATTTTCATTTTATTTTTATATTTGCTGTTAAAAAAAGAGAACACAATTTCTGTTAGTTTTTTTCTGTCTTTAGAACTTTACTGCAAAAATAAAAAAGTAAATTTCTCTTTTGTTATTTCTGTTTGTATTATTTGTTCTTGTGTTGAATGTCTCTCTCTACATGAATATACTCACACAGGATCAAAGAGCACTGATTCATCACTGAGATCAGGGGGCTGTAGTGGAGAAGCTGCTCTCTTTCTCTTCCTGCTGATGATACTGAGAAAAACATAACAGAAAAAATTAGGAATCAATTTCACGACTCCTAACTTTGAGTATTTTTCAAAGCGTTTTTATGCTAAAATCACGATGCTGACCAGCCGTCTCCACAGTACAGTGACACGCCTTTAGAGAGAAATGCACCTTTAATACAGATTACATAAGCATTGAATTTTGTTTCAAAGTACACATTTCAGGCTTTCTGTAGATATATTTCTCATGTCTGTAAGGCAAGTAGGCTATACACTGAGTTTAATTTTTGTGCCATGCTCCAGTGCACGGAGACCGAGACAACAGAAAGTGCATCCAGAAAGCGACTGTTTTCTTTATTTTACAAAAACACAACGTTTTGTTAATATAGTGAGTGTCCTCAAAAAAAGTAGACCCTTTACAGTTTCAAATGATTAGTCTTATCTGTATAAGCAAACATGAGGGCAGATTTTAGGTTGTTTCCATAGTTATCAGGAAAAAATCTCATCGATCGCGCTGGTACCTCTGTGCGCTAACAGCTTCCATGTGTCTAACAGCACACATTCATCTTAGTTATAATGTTAGAGTGAGCAGCAGTGTAAAGCTGCTACAATTTACATGTTTTAATTTTCAAATGATAATTTGAATGCCTTATTTGAGGTCGATGAATGTTACCTCGTTCTACACTATTTCTATGATTAAATGACTGACAGAGACCAAGAGACCTCTCAGCCAATCACTGTGGGTCTAGTTAGTAAGTTTGATGACATCATCCATCATCAGCCATCAGTCAACATCAAGGTCAATGCCGCCTTTTCTCTTAGCTTAAAATTTCTCCCCGTTCCTTAGCAAAAGTAATATATGGATGTGCCATTTATGACACTTTATTGCTTGCAACTTTATAAAACATGCTCAGATCGTGGAATTACACACCATTATTTAGAGCTCATTCTCCTGACTAATAAGAGCCTAAACTCACTATAATCCATCACTTATATCTAAAGATATTCCTCATGAATTTATAACACACATAAAACTGACCAGGCGACATGTAGTTTTAGCAAAAAACTCAAAGTTAGCTCTCATGTGGTGTTTTCACTTGCAATTTCATAAAACATGCATATATTGTAGGATTTCTGTCTTCAAAAACAGAAACCATTGAATCTGTGAGCAGACACAAACGAACATTGAATCTCTGCATTCCACCGGAAAAACTAAAGGTTCTCCTCCCCAGCCATCTGCGGTCATAAAACTACATACAGGGTCAGCTCAGTGTCTCAGCAGTTCCTGTCCCCTTCGGCTTATCTTCTCAAGAGACTCAAAGAAAAGCACTAAGACCGCAATAACTGACCCCTGCATCTGGACTCATTTAAGCAACAGAACGCCAGGGTTGTCTCGTGACTGGCTTCAGCATAAATATCTAATAACCAACAGAACAAAGAACCTGGTATCTGGAAATGTTCCAGCGACAGACACTCCTGGACCCCATGACCGTTTAACGCATAAATTGATAGTCCGATAAACAGAAAGCGACAGATTAATAGCTCCATGTCCGAGCGAGAAGAATGGCAGATCTCCACCCGTGACAGTGTCATGACCTCAGGACATCTCCCCTCTTTCTCCCTGCATTCCAAAAGGGACGCATCCTTTTCCTACTTTCCAGAAAAGCGCGCGGTTCTCCTGTCACAGACAAAGAAACAGAACTTACACAGACAATTCAAAAGACAATCATTTATGCGTATAACAGGGCAACCATATTCACAAATAATATGTTGTATGTCTTATATATATGCTTGAGGTGTCAAAATGTAACCTTGCAACTTTAATCAATGTTTTGTTAACCCCTTTTAGCAGATAAAGCTATTAATATGTGAAGTTTAGTGTTGAATGAAAGCTGGCCACGAAGTAATATGAACAGAATCGGTAATATACACGGACGTTAACGTCTCGCTGGATGACCGTTGATAAAGTGTAAACTATCAAATTTGAAATCAGTTCTAATCAGGTTGACTCCGAATTTTCAGATTCGAGTCATCTCAAAACCTGAATTAATTAATAATAATTAATTCCCTAAGAAAAGTAATCTGACATTACAATATCATGGAGAATGGCATGTCATTATTTGCAGAATATTTACCTGATTAAAAAGAGCCCAAACTCTTTATAATCCATTGAGTTGGTTACTTATTGATTCAATCATCATGTAGTGGCCTGATTCACTGATCTCATCTGGAGTCTAATCTCAGAGTATATTAGCTAGTTTTACATTATCTACAGCAGTCTTGTAATGTTATAGCTGTCGGATATTCTGATTTCTTTTTTTTTTTTAAGGGAGTTGACTTGTTAACTGAGGTTCGGGAGCGGGGCCACGCCCCAAACAATCACCTGACTTCCCGAAACCTTCAAATATCGGGCCGCCTCATACCGTACTGTTTGTCTCCTTCTCTCGAAACCACCCTTTCCCTCCCTTTCTCATCCATTCAGCCATCCTGATCCCATATTTTTCTTTCTTTCAGGTTGTATCGGGGGGTCCTAATCATCTGGCCTAAATATACAATCGAGACGATACCCCCACCCTGAGTCTCTCTGGGCCATCACTTCTAGATGCCCTGATAAACCCGACCATCATCCCATTCCATCAACCCCTTCATCCTCGTTCTACTCTTCCCCAACATCCTGTTCAATTAACTATTCCATAGCTTGTTTGTGGCGTGGTCCTAGCTCGTGAAATTCATTATAAAAAAAGTGTTTTGAAGTGTCTTTTTGCCTCACACAAACATCAAGAATCAGTGCATGAATCTTAATGGTGACAATCATCAAAAATCTTTTTGTGAATTTAGCAGCTTGTTTTGTGACGTTCAGAGTTGATCTGTTTATCTGAATAATCTGTTTGTCGTTTGTCACCATTGTTGAGGTTCATACGCAGATTCTTGATGTCTGTGAGTCTACATGATTCTGTCCAAATAACTTCCACATAATGACTTGGAAACCTTTCAAAATATCAAAGCATGCAGTAATATTCTAAGAATATTATAATGCAAAAATAATAAATTAGGGTGACCATACATCCTCTTTTCCCAGGACATGTGCGTCTGGCCGGGATTTCTAAATTGAACAAAATGTCCGGGATTCGGCTTTTGCCTTCTACAGTTGTCATTCATTGTGTGCGTTTTTGTATTAAAGCCTTGCGTGGGACTGTTTTCTTAATCCCGCTCCCGCAAACATTTTAATATTGAATATATAATTTCCGTGCATCAATATGCGGAGTAATTAAATCGCTTTGGATGCAGCTCGTGTTGGATGTAGGGTTGCCAAATCCGCATTTTTTTCCATGGAATTGGGCTGATTTTAAACTGTTGTGGCGGGTTGATTTTCTCCCGTGGGTTAAAGGTTTGAAATATTGCATAAATTATATTTGACTGAAATGCTTGTATTGAAACATTTTGCATTCTACCTATGATAAAACGGTGGTAGATATATGGTCACTTTAAATACATCTAATTAGCAAACACACTAGGGTGGCCATATGCGCCGTTCATACGGGACACGTCCCAGCCAGGATATTAATATTGCCTAAAATATCCAGGTTTTGGCTGTTTGCACTGTGCAGGTCGATCATTGTGTGACATTCATGAGAGCTATAGAGAGCAGAGCAGACGGCTCCTTATGCTTTCGAATCGCTCTCGCACCTACTTTGGTGTCTTTTTTGATCAGTGCGCAGCGACTCTTCAAATTAAACAAACGAACAAACATACTGGTGCATCTCAATAAATTAGAATGTCGTGGAAAAGTTCATTTATTTCAGTAATTCAACTCAAATTGTGAAACTCGTGTATTAAATAAATTCAATGCACACAGACTGAAGTAGTCTTTGGTTCTTTTAATTGTGATGATTTTGGCTCACATTTAGCAACAACCCACCAATTCACTATCTCAACAAATTAGAATACTTCATAAGACCAATAAAAAAAAACATTTTTAGTGAATTGTTGGCCTTCTGGAAAGTATGTTCATTTACTGTACATGTACTCAATACTTGGTAGGGGCTCCTTTTGCTTTAATTACTGCCTCAATTCGGCGTGGCATGGAGGTGATCAGTTTGTGGCACTGCTGAGGTGGTATGGAAGCCCAGGTTTCTTTGACAGTGACCTTCAGCTCATCTGCATTTTTTGGTCTCGTGTTTCTCAGTTTCCTCTTGACAATACCCCATAGATTCTC